GGCTGGTCTGACCTCTGTAGCTGGAGAACTCTGTGCAGCCTGCCCTGAGGGGGCGGGGAGTGGAGGAGAATTCTAGTCATTCCTGCCTCTGCCTGGGAAACCAGGTTCCTTCTTGTTGGATGGAGGTGGGACTGGGGTTAGATGTAGCCTTGGCAGGAGAGGCCTGGGGTGCTGCCCAGTACGTGCTGAGCCCTGTGCAGTGTGTGGAGTGCTGCTTGCCCTCCTCTCCCACACGCCCAGGCCCCAGGCCTGGCGTCGTTGAGGGTGTGTGCTTGTGTTTGGGGCCAGGTTCCCACCTTAGGACATGGGCCTGGAGTCATGTCTTCCAGGGAGGTGTGTGGAGAATCCTGCTCTAACCTCTAGTAGGCCTTCTGCCTGGCCTGGCCTGGGCAGTCCCCTGATCTGCTCCCTGACCTTGTAAGTTCTTAGAACTTCCAGGTTCTTTGCTCCTTTCTGGGTGTTGAAGTTTGGCTCTGAGCTGGAGCCCCCTGATGTGCCCTGGGGTAACTGGGGACCACCAAAGTCTGTGGAGGGAGCTCTTGGTGTGCCTCGGGCTTCCTTCCTAGCTGGTGATCCGAACACCCCCTTCTTGTTCTCACTGGGCTGTTTTTCTGGGAGCCAGCTCAGGTATCCTAGAAACAAGAAGAGAAACAAAGCTCAGAAAACTCTCCCAGAGGCCTGGAGGCAAATATCAAACCAAAACAAAGTTTTCTGAGAGGAAATGAAATAGCCTAGGGAAGCGGGGAGGGGCGGGAAGGGGGGAGGCCGCGTTTGCAGGCAGAGGTGGGTTTGAAACTCCAGGATAAGAGTGTGAAGTTTGGGGAGAAAGGCTTCTCAGTTGTAGGGCCTGCTGCAGCGTTCCCCGCTGGAAGCCCCCCCTTCCCCTCTCGCGCTGTCTATCCCTCTGCCATAGGATGCCAGGCTGGTCCCCCGACAACCTGTCTGTAGGATTCAGTTTAGTTGAGACCCCATACTTGGCTCAACCCCAGTTTTGTTTCTGACTGGCTGTGGGGTAGGGTGGTGGGTGGGGATCCAGGAGCTTTAGAGCCCAGCACAGCCCCTGTTGCCCCTGGGGGACCACCTAGTCCCCAGTGTGGGCTTCTCTTGGTGTGCTCAGGCAGAGCTGCTGCTCGTCTACTGGAAAGGTGACTGGCCCTACCAGTAGCCAAGAGGAGACCTCTTGACTTCAAGGACTGAGCAGGAAGGAGGAAGTCCAGCTTTCTTGAGAAGGCCTTTCATTTACTCAGCACTTGTCCGCTGAGATTCACCACCTCCAAAGCACTGGCGGAGTGTGAAGCCACAGACTCCTCCTAGGGTGGCTGTGTCTTGGTGACCTCTGAGATGAGGGACACAGAGCCAACGCCTCCTTCTCTGTGATAAGCCCAGTGTAGGTGGGGGGCCAAGGAATGAGCGGGACAAGGGAGGAGACCAGGCAGACCTGGGAAGACAGGATGCGTGAACTGGGCTCCCTGCTAATATGTGCCACATTAGGTCACTCGGCACACAGCAGGCCCCA